GCAAGGTAACATGGTATATATGTGCTTTTTAGATAGATAGATAGATAGACGATAGACGTTTATTGAGAAGAATACCTTAATAGCAGCTGGAAGCTGAATTGCAAAGGTGTACAAATTATGTAATAGAACTATACAATAAAATCAAACCTAAAAGGGAACTAATTTACATATACAATTGTAATAAGTGTTAGCTAAAATGTCTTGCGCTTGCCGGAATGAAAGTATCTCTATTTAATTATTGAAGAACAACTTAGCAACACATCTCATCTTTGTAATGCAGCTACAAACAATTCAGCAGTAAGTTTCTGATAAAAGGCTTACTTTTCCCTTCCTTTCAGAAAAAGAAATAAAGAAAATAGTGCCTCAAGCGATCGTTGTTTCTTGCGAAAAGAAGGTAATATATAACGCACTAGACTCAATGCAGACGAACATTAATAGACTTAAGTAATAAGTATTGTCACTTCAAATATGGATTACAACGTTTGGACTGCGTACTGATAGTCTTTTCACGCGAAGTGGACTAGTTACGCCTCACCTTATTACCTGTATGCACCGTCATGGTTGTTTTTTTCAGCAGCTGCGATCGCGCCTTTTAACGATGTATTCCCTTACGATACATCTAGCACAATTCTCCTCGGTGTTGTTGTGTTACTTGGTCTTTGGCATCCACACTTCTGGAATTTTAATTTCCCTCTCCTCTCTAATGTTGTTTAGGTTAGTTCTTCACTAAATCCAATATTTTTTCTCTGCGTGTGTAAAAATAAACTGTTGTTGTGGACGTGCTCTGAAACAGCGGAGGTGACGCGTGTGAGCGCGTCGCAAGTCTCCGTTATGCTCAAAGGTGTATCCCAAAAACTCCATCACTCCCAACAAAAACAAGGTATACGTGCTGAGTTTATGGGGAAAATACACTTCAATCGCACCAGGTATGGTCAGAATATCCTATCTCCTCTTTTTGACAAAGTATGTCAAAACTTCAGTTGTCCAAAATGATGTACTAGTGCGACCAGCGGTTCCATCAAAGGGCGAGCGTAAAGACACTGAAAATGCACTTGTTCGGCTGTTTCCGTGGTGATTGTTTCTTTCTTTCTTGGAAAGAGTGCACGTGAACAACACCAGAAAACCGTCAACCGAACAACTGAACAGAATCAGATCTATTGCAGTTCTGTCTGCAACATGTCAACAGTCTACTTAAATAACTTTCCGCTACCCTAAAAAAGAGTGAAGGTGACGTCAGCATGACTGGGAGACCGAAACAGGATCGGAACAAGGAGCTGGACAAAGCACTAGACTCGCTCATAAGTAGAACTCCACCCTTTCAGAGTACGCCAACGGCACCAGACATCGCCTGATTTGAAACGAAATTAAGTATGTTGGCCGTGTCATTATTACACACGCAATCTAAAGGATTTGATTCAGGAAAAAATTTACCCAAACAACATCAGTACGGGAAATAGAAGGGAAATTCATGGAGAGCTGTACGACAGTGG